AGCGTGTGTATCGGGGGCGGGGAGCAGCAGTAACCACGGCCACAACAGCAACAACAGCAGCCACAAAGCGACCAAGTAGTAGGAGAAACAATGAAAGGCAAACCGCAAGAAACGCAGCGCAAGAAAAGTGGAAGGAAAGGAAACAAAAAATGAGCTGCAGCCGCCGCGTTAGTGTCGTGAGGTGGAAGATAGAGAGCGCCAAACAAAACGCCTCAAACGCTGGTCAGAGACTGAAAGGAAAGCTCAGCCAGGACTCGCTCGGCTCGAGACTCGAGTGGAGTGTAAAAGGCAGAGGATGGCACCGACAGCGGCAGTGGCAGCGCTAGTGGCAGAGCCCGCTACAGCCGAGGGTCATGAATGGGAACCCGTGCCGAGCATGCGCTCTGTAGCAGCGCGCCAAAATTAAAGCTCACTCAAAGCCAGGCCAAGACGGAGAGTGAGAGTGAGTGAGACTCAGTTAGAGTGAGTAAGACGCCTGGAGAGAGAGGGAGAGTGAGTGCGTAAAAACCTTTGATTCAGTTATATAATTGGTGGCCAGGTTTTGGTGGCGTTTGTTTTGTTGCCATATATTTATGTACATATGTATGTACAATGTATACTCGTACATACATACGTATAGCGGTACCTGTCGGTCGGCAATTAACGCCCCAGCAATAATCAGGGAATTGCCATTTCCCCACCCACTGCCATAAGGAAAGACTGTCGATGCACGCGCATGAAACGGTTAATGGAAGCCATATTTGGACACTAACTATAAAGCAGTGCTGTAAGGGATTAGCGGCAAAGTAACAGTGGGATCGGAAGAGCAATGGAATAAAGAAAATATTTAAAGATGCGAAAGTAAAAGCTCTCCTCCTACCCCAACACTCATTGTACTCAATGCACCTGAACTGGCTCTAGTCACCAGACTCTAGTGTAAACACAAATTTATTATTATAGATCCCATTAAGAAATTGGTTTACTGAATATACAAATATAGATATGTAGCATCCCCGAATGTAAACACTTTCTGAGTAATTGCATTGAATAAATAAATTCTGATTCCAATGCTATTCCAATTCTTCCCAACTCCTATGTATATCGCTTTCAGTCATTCTCCGATTTCAGCTTTTTCACACAATAGGCACTTGACGCGGCTGACTCATTCGATTCGATTTGTTTTGACGGGTTTTGCAGGGTCCCATAAAAGGAACGCATTCGCGTGCGATACTCTCACTAGAAGTATCACCACCCACTCTAGCTCGGCAACTCGTGCATATCGCTGAATGTTTTGTTAAAAACCTAACAAATTTTACTCCGATCTTTCGTTCATGGAGAGATTTCTATAATTTGACTTTATTTTTGCATTGCGTTTCGCCTTTGTGTCTATATCGGATGGCTTTCCCCTTTATACATATGTATGTAGATATGTATATATTCTTATCTATCTATCTATCAACCTGTTATATCGATCTACTATATAAACATGTACATTTTATATTCCTACATATGTATGTACGTACATAACGATAATATAATAATTATATGTAAATAAAATAAATTATCATTTGTGTAGAATTCATATGCGTATTCCCTCTATAAAGAAATGTGCAATGTTTAATTATGAATTATTTCAGTTTTATTTGCTTGGTCGACGCTGTTGTTCGATCGCGAAGCTAGAAAATATTTGGAAAATACATATGTACATACATAAATATGTACATACATATGTACATCGAACGGTTAAAGCAGCTTTCTGTGTAGGCGTGTCGCCGGACATACAAATGTACAAACATACATACTAATGCATCACTTGGCATTCTGAGGAAAATGCCTTGGCCATGTGTGACGCATTGTTCTACAAAAGGCAACAGAGCTAAGTAAACAGTTTTTGGTTTGGCCAGAGAGCAGTATGCAGTAAGCAGCTGGCAGTTATCAGTCGATCGTCATATCAGTTGATTGCAGAAGACATTCTGGCGCTGCAAGAAAAAGTTTAGAAGTCCGTTACCGTTGCCGGTGATGGTTCTCGAGTGGGGTAGAAGTTTGCGGCAGGAAAGATCGTTAGTCACGATTGATCCATTGAGGGATTGATTGACGATTGAACAACTCCGCTAGTGGGCGACGACAACTGTTTACCCCTGGTGCCGCTGGTGACGCAGTGGATGTGTGGTGGCGGCGGACGTGTAGGCGTCGCTCTGGCTTATGGTTACACGTTCTAGAAGCCATGCGACTGCTACGACTACCATGGAATTCGTCTCTGAGAGACGCTCTCGGCCAGCTTTCTGGCCCCATCGTCGCGTCGTCTCCACGTCCGTCTATTTATAAATCTGATGTGTGTGTATCTTGGGCAATGATCAGTGCAAAAACCTGAGAGAGCAGAGACCCTCAGATGGAGAGTAGCAGACAGAGAGAGAGAGAGAGAGAGAGACAGTAAAATGTTTACCTATTTAGGCCTTAAACTGGTGGAGTGTGGAGAGACGAGACTGAGACACGGAGACAGGGTCGACATATGGCAGAGAAGCCAAGCAAAGCTTACACACACACATATTTACAAACCGCGTGGCAAAGCTACGCAGAGAGGGAGAGCGAGAGACAATGAGAGCAGCGCCCCAACGTTAGCTGGCGACAGCGGGAGCCATTTGCTTTGGGGCCACCAGCAAACGGCGATGGCGCTCAATCGACGAGCAACTTTGGCAGCGTGAAGAACGGAAGACTACACAACGTGGATATTTGGCTAAATAAACAACAACAAAATCAAAGTGTGTGCTTGATAGTGTGCGTGTGTGTGTGTGTGTGTGTCCGCGGCAATGTGCAAAAATAAAAAATCTATATATATTTTAAATTGAATATAGAAATACAAAAGCACACACACGGCAGAGCCGTGGAAGGGAGACAAAAGATTGCAGCGGAAATACTAAAAAAGCAAAAATCGAAAAGTGGAAGTTGAAAAAAGTGTCGGCGTGTCTCTCTGTGTGTGTTAGAAAGTGGGGCCAGAAGTGACATCACACCCAGAGAAGGGGACAAGAGCAACATAGTGTTTTGCAGGAGCCCAGCCGTTGAGAAGTATCAGCAGGAGAAGCACCCAGAAAAACGGCGCAAATTAACGCGCAACGCAGCGGAACATACGAGAACGAGCAGAGCAGCACGCGTCGTCGTCGTCGTTGTTGCCGTTCAAGGTGAACCCGCCACCGCACTCCATTCCCCCCACGAAAACTAATCTCTGTCGCAGCAACCTTTTCGACAAGCCTCAGGAGTCGGATCTAAACTTTGAAAAAAAAAAAAAAAACAAAGAAGAGAATACAAAATTGTCTATTCACTCCGGACTCGAGAAAGTTTACGGTTGACGGCAACGGTAACGGCAGGGATATCGGTTAAGGAAACAACTCCGAAACTGAGATGAAGCCAACTGTGATAGCAGCGAATCAGGCCCATGCCCAGGCTCAGGCCAGTGCGGGCGGAAACGGAGGTCCCGGAAACGTGTCGGGCATCAATATACCCATCAATCGGGAGTACGTGAGCGGTGCCCACGGATCCCCGCACCAACAGCAGCCGCATCCGCATCCTCAATTCAACAGCAGCACCCTGCCCGGATACGGATCGCCCAGGCAGCGTCCCCCGCACCAGCAGCAGCATCCTCAGCAGCAGGTTCCCACAAATCAACAGCAGCAACACTTTCAGGTGAGTGGACTTCCCGGGCTAGTCGTGAAGGATAAGGCGACGAGCGGCGATGAGCGAGCCTCAAGGTTGGCGCCAGGCAAGGTCGCTTGGACATATTCGGATGCGTATTACTGTGGTCTTTGTTGTTGCTGCTGACAGTCGGCTGTGTGTAAATTCAATTACAGTGAAGCTGCTCCAGAGTGGAATGCTCATGACATTTATTACAAATTTGCCTAGTAGACAGCCGTTCTCCACTGCTTTACTGTACTCTGACGTTGCAATTGTTTGACTTTGTTTTTTTGCGGATGTACGAATCCTTCACGTTCTCGCAGTGCCCTCGGGCTCATTGTACACTTTCCACATCGATAAACGGGCACAAAAAATGGAAAAGTCGGCTGGAGGTTGCGTAAAAGCCCCCCACTGAGTGGGAGGAGAGGGCGTTCGTTCGTACCCAGCTGCTAGATGCACCGAAACCATCAGCCAACCAACCAGCTCATTGTGGCAGCTGTGGGCACAGTGTGTCAAGTATGTATGCATACACTGTTGACCTACTCAGACTGGGCTGCTGTCTCCTAGCCGCTGCTGTTCTGCTGGCTTCTGTGAGCTTTTGTTCGGGTGCAAAGGCAAGGAAAGGGTGCTGTCGTGTCAAGCACTCTTCTGGGCAGCTCTTCGTATGGTTAATGCGGCAACGCGTGCGGAAATTTACCGCAGACCCAAAAGTACAGGCGAGTTTTTTAGTGGCCTAATCTATTGGCCAGCCATCCAATTTATCAAGAACAAAAAGATTTGGCGCTCTATTCGCTGAAAATATTTGAAAATTTCTAGAAGAAACAAAAAACCTCGCTCGCTCTCACTCTCTTTTGCTTTATGGCTAGCTCTCTGTTTCTATTTCTCTTGACGTGTTTCTGCTCTCTAGCGAAATACCGACTACCGACTGTGTGTGTGTTTTCCTTAGTAGGTGGGCAGCAGCATACAGTAATATATAATATATAATGACGCTATATATTTATGTACGTTTGTGTAAGCAAGTCAGTTGTCTAATACGAGAGGCGTGGGCGATATTTTTCTGTTGGCCAACGCAGAGCAGAGCCCACAACACTGTGACGTTTCCTCATTCAAACGTCATCAACAAGTTAATGTACCGTCCCACAAAAATGCCATGTTTACAGTTGGTCTTGCATAAGAGGGTGAGAAAATGAGACTGTCCTTTAAGGCAGACTCAGTTTCAGTTTCTTAATAGGAAGCACAAAAGAGGGGGAGAGAGAGGCAGAGAGCGATAGGCAAAGCTAGACAGAAACTACGAGAACGCAGGAGAAGATCCGAGAGTGGGCGAAAGCTGCTATAAAACGGCTTCAGCGTTCGATTACTCTGCTCATTCATTCACATTCCGCCGAACGGAGCGTTTTAACGAACAAAGACAGAGCAGAAGTAAAATAAAGTACATTTGTAATAGAACAACAATTACTGTTAATTGATAGAGCAAACAATCCGGAATACGATTGCAAAGGTAAGAGGCGTCGAAGTGGCACCCCTACCCTCTCTACAGGCAATGCAAACAGCTGTTCGTGTTCGTGTCGAATTATTGCTGACTGCTCACGACAAGTGCCGCTCGCTGAGTCATGTTGTTATTTATAAACAATTCGCCCACCGAGACAAACACTTTACACTATACATTCTCTACACCTCATACATATTTCCCATTTCGTACTCGCATTCGCACTTGTTCTCATAACAACTCTCGATCTTATCTGTGATTGCAGCCGACTTTTGGATTCGAACCCGACATGGATATGGACATGGACAGCATGTTTCCGCGCTCACGTATGGGGCGGATGCACCACGATCCCTTCGCCGGCTTCGGTGACTCACGTAAGCGGAGTAGTTTGCACGGTCCCCCCCAAACGAATGCTGACGATGCCTTTTCCTCCCATTTTGACGACGCAGACTTTGGGTTCCCCCAGTTCTCGACCATGGGCAGGCGCGGCCGCATGGCCGGCGGTGCCAACAATCACATGGACCACGACGACGATTTCTTTAACCGGCTGCCCTCGGAGTTCCGTCAGTACATCCCCGATGGCTTTGGGGCCAGGCGCGGCACGGGACAGGCGACTGGGGCTGTGCCTCCACAGCAGCCGCAGAAGCAGTACTACCAGCAGGATTACCCTGTGGCACCACAGCAGCAGCAGTTCGTGCCAGTGGTTCCGCAGCAGCAGCATCAGGTGCCGCAGTCGCCCTCAAAGCGCCTATGCGATGCGGCCATCCAAACGGAGGATCCTGCCGGACGTTCCGAGGTGGATTGTGCCGCACCCGTTAATCTGAATCAGCATGGTCTGCGCAACACTGTGGACATGGGCGTGAAGAGTGTGGCAGAGCAAGACCAGGCGGCCCGCTCTCACTCTGCACCTCCTCCAGAGCAACAGCAGCAGAACCTGCTGTACCAACAACAACAGCGACCCACTCCCCCGCCTGGAGTGCATCAGCCACAGTTTGGCACTCAGACCAGTCCACCGGTGCAAGGGCAGTATCAGCAAGCGCAACAGCAGCCCCAGCAGCATCCGCCTCAGTTTAAGTCGTACTATGCCCCGCATCAGCAAACGCATCCTCAGCAGAAGCAGCAGACGCCGCCTCCTGCCCCACAAACGCCCGGGGGAAGCTTCATCCGTACTATTCCCATCTTCGTGGAGGGTCGGACTGAGCCCATTATCAATGCCCACAAGGAGATTCCAAACCAGAATGCTCCGCCTAGTGCCCAGGCCCAATCTCAGGCCCAGGCCCAGGCCCAGGCCCACTACTCGCCACAGCAGTCGCGTCCAACGCCACTCAATACTCAGCAGCAGCAGCAGCCGGCGGAGCAACAGTTTGCGGCAGATGGAGCTGCAGGACTGCCACCCCAGACACCCCACACTCTCGATTCGATCAACAAGATTCAGGACATCCAGCGCGACGTGCTCGACCTGATGACCAAGGTAGAGCAGTTCAAGGGCATGCGTCAGGAGAAGGAGTATGCCTACCTGGACGAGATGCTAACCCGCAATCTACTCAAGCTTGACACCATCGACACTAACGGCAAGGACAGCATTCGTCTAGCCCGCAAAGAGGCCATCAAGTAAGTTCTGTCTTCTCCTTAGATATCAGTTCAAGATTGTTAATCCATCGATCCTCATCCTTTCAGATGCATTCAGGCTTCAATAAATGTGCTGGAGGCCAAGGCCGAGGAGAACGCCAGGCTGGCGGCAGGAGTAGAGGCGGGCCCTCCCGTCATCGAGCAGGCGGCCACAGAGGCTGCGGCAGAGGTGCAAGAGCCGGTCACACCACAGCCACAGGATGCTACAAAGATTCAAGAGCCAATCCCTCTGCCTCCGCCACCAAGTGCTGTGGAGGGATCCGCTTCCAACACTGCCGTGGAGGCTCCGCTAGCAGCAGCCGAAGCGGCTCAAACCGTCTCTTCGACTGAGACAACCACCTCGACGTCCGAATGATGAACAGAGCGCCTCTACAAGGCGACCACCACATCGAGACAGCTACGCAAATTAACCAAATTCAAGTGATGATTGGGCGGGAGAATGACGAGTGACGGCGAGAAAAGGATTTTGTTTGGAAGTTACAGCGAAAACTTGATTGATTAAACGGCATGTGAAGTGAATGTGAATACGAGTATCTTTGATAGTGTTCCATGCACACATGCATATACATATATACATACGTACTACACACACACACATACATATAAGCATACAAATCTCATGTGACATAACAAAGGCATCAGCATCACCCATAACACGCAATACACCACATGGTACGTTTCGTACACCGCATAGATTAGGCTAGGAAGGACTTTGATATTGATATATTGAAACACAAAAAAGTGCCTGCATAGAATTTGAAAGTTAACAAACCGAACACGATTTAGCAACGATTTATAATGATAACTCAGTGGCTTGACACTTGAAAGAGCTGATTATTTTTAAGCGATAGAAGATCACGACTATACGAGTCCAGTTTTAATAGTCCGATGGGACAACTGCGGACGGAATGGCAGGTAGCAGCAGCGAGCACCAGTATGATCTCATACAAATCTACAGCAAATGGAGCTGAGCTTGCTAGCCACACCTCTCCGGGCGCACCGCTTACATCGCGTCTTTGCTACAGTTGAATCTGAATTGTTAAACAAAGGCAAACAACACACACAATTATTGAAAACTCTTATGAATAACTATTTATGCTACTAATTAATACGAGAATAAATGTAGATATTGTTGACCATACCACAATATTGTTGCACAATTATCAAAGTTTATTATCGAAAAGGTTACAAAGGGGTCTCCATCTAAATACATGTACAGAGTCCGGGATGGGCGGATGGGATGTGATGGAGAGGGGGCTTATATACTGACTAAGTAGTGGTTGGTTACACTGTATGCACTCGTAATGTTAAGAACATTTTAAAAGGACGCAACATGGTTTCGACACTTAAAAGTCGAACAATCGTATAATCATATAATAATAATAATAAGTATCTATACACAGACACAGATGGGGTGGCATATGAGGCATCGAGTATATATATATATGTGTGGATGTATGTATGCAATGTACGTTTTATAAAGTGGTACCATGTAATATATGTATGTAAAAACAGACGTGATGTACGATAGAAATCGCCTTATAGTCATATTTAGTCATCGTTAAATCTCCCCTAGGTTCTCTCTGTGTTGCATTATTGTTCAAGAGTTGGGATTAAATGTTAAGTAGTTCTCTTCCGGTTCCATAAAGTAGGGATGTATGTAGATATCTAGCAAAAAGGTGGCCCAGCTGCTTGGCACTTGGGTCGCTGCTTAGTTGATGATCTCGACATAGTTTGCCGGAAACAGTCCATAGGTTCCATCAGGGCCGAGGCCCTGCCACCAACCCTCATCGATTTGATCGATATGCGTAATGACATCGCCCGGATCGAATGTGATTTCCGACTCGTCGGCTGCCTGGTAGTCGTACAGTGCTCGGGCACGCAGACCCAGATCTCCCAGGCTCTCCTGGCATATGAAGTCGTCCTCGTTGACCAAATCGGTCACTAAACACAATAAATTAGCATTAGTTGGGAAATCATTGAAACACTGACTCTTCTTACATGTATTCCTTTCCAAAGTGCTAAGGGCGCCAGTCTTGGTCGACTGCGACTGCTGTACTGTGACTGACACCTTGGTGCGCACCTCCTCCTCCTCCTGATACACCGCCGTGTCCGTCTCATTTGAAGACGTTGTCTCGTCGGGCGACTGCGACTGCAGCGAGTTGGTTTTACTGTGAGGCGATCGTTTAATGGTCGAGAACTGCTCGCTCTCGTGGGCCAGGGGCAAGTCGTCCACTGGATGCGTCTCGGCCTCCACCTCGGTTATGGTCGAGACAACTTCGGCTGCCACCGGTGCAGCAGTAGGAGCAGGAGCAGGAGCGACTGGGGCAGCAGTCTCTACTACTTCTGGCAGCTTGATGGTCGACACAGCGCGTGGTGTTGAAGGCACAGATGCTTCCTGAGGCTGGTTCTGGTTGAACACATTGATTCGCTGGGCAATGGAATTGCGTGCTGGTTTCGCCGGCGGTTGCGTGTTAAGTCTATGAGAAGAGAACGTACTATTAGTATTGGAGCCATAGTAATGAAAGGATTTCTCACTTGGATTGCAGCTGGCCCTCGCTGGTGTGCTTGGTGAACATGGCCTTGGCGGCGCCGACACGCGAGCCAATCAATTCTCGGGCCTCCTGGTTACGTGCCTGACGCATGCGCTCTGCATCCGTCAAATTGTTGCCAAATCCTGGTGCGGTTTTCTCGGGGCTCAGCGGTTGCGGGGATCTAGAAGTGCAAATGGTAAAAGTTTTCACAAACTTATTGAAGCTAATGGGTGGCAATCGTAGTTACGTTTTGATGGGCACATGTGCCGGCTGGAGCTTGGTGGTGCTTATGACTAGCTTCTCTCTCTCCTTGTGTTCCTTTTCCTCGCGGCTGCGAACCTCCTGCTCCAGCTTCTGCAGCTCCACACGTTTGGCATCTTTCTCGGTCTCGAGTCGGCGCTTCTCCTCGGCCTCTTCTTTTTTCCAGAAGTCCTGCATGACGCTGGCATTAAGCTCCTTGGTTGGAATCACACGCGTATAGTTTGTCCCCACAGGCGCCTTCTGTTCTTCCATGGTGCCGCGAGGAGCCTTGAAGCTGTAGGCAGAGCTGACGGCGCTCAGTTTTTTCAGCAGGCGCTCCAGGTCGATGTCATCCTCATTCCGGGCGTTGATGGTGAGGTGGGCACCGGAAAGTAGATTGCTAACGTCACGTATGTGGTTAGCGCAGGTGCCCTTACGTAGCACAGGTGCGCCTTCGCCCTTCACCATAAAAAGCAACAACAAAGCAGCCGGTTAGAGTTTAGATAAGCGTCTGGCGATAAGATTAGCGGCTGCGGGACTTGGTCCTGACTCACCTGCCAGTTGATGAGTAAGTACTTGTTGAGGCCGGTTTTTGGATCTTCAATGCGCACGAAGGCGTACATGATCTTGCCACTGTTGAAATCCTCGGTGAGCTCCTCCACACCGCCGTCTCCGGAGGCCACGAGTTTCAATTCGTTGGTTTGGCCCTCGTAACCGAAAAGGGACCAGTTGGTGTCGCTCTTGTCGTCCAGCACATCCTTCCAGGCGGCCACGATTTGTGAGCGATTCTTTTCAAAGCTGATGGCCATGGTGTGGGATTGCCAATGACCTTGAACAAAGAGATCTCGGCCAGCTTTCACTGGTTCACCTTATTTGGGTGCCTGTGTCGTCGTCCAACGTCGTTCGAGTGAAAGCCAACGCCCCGCAATGTCTCAAACTCTGGCTTCGGAGTGGCTTAGTTTTTAATTAAATGCACAACTGCAGCCGACTCTTTCGCACACACACAGCAAACAGCATAGGATAGCGGCTGATCTGATTGATTTTCCAGTCTTTGTCTCTGCGTATATCCAGTGGCGAGGATGGTCGCGGCTCCTGGTCACAGCTCTCCAAGTCACGTGTGCATCAGTGATAAAAAGTAACGGCTGGGCAGCGTTTCCATTTAGTTAATTTGCCTAGTTGAAATGTACTTTTAAATATTTGCTACACAGTTTTTGCAATATAAAATATACCGCCTGACCCTCAGAAATATACTGAACCGTACCTTATTTTTTTCAAAATATACCATAAATAGACCGAGTAAGAAAAATTAGCCCACATATCCCCATCTATTTGAAAAAATAGATTAGAATAGAATAGAATAGAATAGAATTGAATAGAATATAATAGAAATAGAGAAATGGAATAGAAATATTCTTTTGAATTTCTATATCCTCCTTACTAACAACAGAACAGGGTTCATTCAATTTACCCACTGGTCAGCAATGGATTAATCTTTCTCTGTCCATGAAAAAAATTCATTTTCCACGATTTTTATGTTCGCCTAATATTATAAGCTATTTAAATCTCTCAGCACTGAAAGTATAATTATATCAGATGGACGGGATCAATTTTCTAAGAGAATATGTTTAGGACTTTTACACAGAAAAAAAAAAAATATATATATATGGAGAGCATAAAACGTAAGTGGGCATGACATTTTACGACATTTAAACACCTCTTTCTGTTACAGAGTTTTTGCAAGTCTCTACAAGAAAACCACAGGAAACTGTGGGTTAGCTACCAAAGAGCGGTTCAAGTGATTCAGTTCCACTCTTAACAGTCGTAGCAAGCATGTTTTTATACTTTTATATTTCTTAGTCTGTAATACTGAAATATATCATTAAATACTACTAAACAGATTAAATAAACCGTACATGGCCGTTTGGGTATATTTGCTTGATAAACCCGCGGTCACACTGAATTTGAAACGAAAGCAAATAATTTTCACCTATATTGCTATCGAAATCGTACCAAAAATAACTAAAACACCGAGCCACAAGTGCTGTGCCTAGATAAATCTCAAAGAAATTGATTCACTGCCCTCGATATACTCTTCGGCCACAAAAACAGCTGCAGCATTTCGTTACACCAACAGTTAGGCGTCCCAAGGCAAAAGGTAAAGACTGCTGCTGCCAGGCGATTGGATTTTGGATGATTTTGGTAACTGCTGGTGGTGGTGCTGCTGCAGCAGCTGCTGGCCTGGGCCTGGGCCTCTGCCGGGCCGGGCCTGGACTGCTGGCCTGCTTGGCAACAATATGGAATTTGTCAGTGATTTCGTTTGCTGGCTGCTGTACTTGGTCATTGCCAAAATTTTCGGCTGCCCCGTCTCCGCCGTCGCCGTCGTCTTCCAAACCTGTCCCAACTGCATCGTGCTTGTGCCGCCCTGCCTTCGCCCCCCCGTCCCGTGGGCAACATATGAAAACTGTTTGGCAGCAGGATTTCGCCTTACTTGTTCCGAAGTCAGTCAGAGAGTCAGAGTAAGAAGCGGTGGCGGTGGCGGTGGTGGCTGCGGGCAAGCGTCAGTGTCTTTGTTCAGTGGCTCGTTCCATTTACATATATGCCAATGCAACCAGGCTCCGGCACCGCGATATATCCAGTTTGTGGTGCAGAGATACATATATTCACATATACGTACGAGCAGTATAATGCACAGATATCTGGCGGCACGGCACACCAGCGCTGTGTGTACGTACTGCGTACGAGTGTTTGTGTATTCTCATGGTCAATTTCTTTGCATTTTGCATTTTCAGTGTGAAACTCATGCGGTGCAGATCGAGTCGGAGCAACAGCAGCAGCCCACGTTCATAGACTCCACCATGGAATCAGCGCTGGATGTGCTCTCCAGAGCGGCGACCATGGTCCAGAACAATGCGAGCGGTAAGTAGTGAATGTCGAAAGTCGGATGGTCATTAACCAATTCCCTTTAAAAAATGAGTCGAAAAATGGTATGATTTTAACTTGGCCCACAACCAAACAACCAGCGTGTATGTACATACCTCAGTTGGGGCAGGGGGCAGCAGCCCTTCTTCCGCTTTTATGGCTTTCACCTCTGAGCCCAAACTTAAAAGTATTTTAACAATGTGTTCTCGTTGCCACTTCTGAGTGTGTCATACGGCATGGAGTGGAATTAAATGGATTGGGTGGGGGACGGGGACTGTTGGTAGTCCCAGTCGCAGTCCCCATGTTTCATTCCAGATGCATGATTCATGATTGCAACAGGGCCTTGGGACTCCATGACATCTTCTTTGTAAACGAATCCCCAACCGCACAAGCAGTGACTCAAAAAAGTATGCGGCTATGCTCAGGAATCAATGAGACCTGAAGGAAA